CGCAGCTAAGTGTGAATAAAAATAGATGATGTTCTTAATATTAGAAATATTTGATTTTGTTGGTATCTGAACGGCAGGTAAATCTGTCGGGTCTGTGGTGCAAGTGTTTGTGTCATCAGGAAGAAATAAGTTATCTGGTTTGTGGTGGTTATTTTTTCCTTTGAGGCTGGCAAAGAACCCGTGGAGCCTTTCTACAGGAAGAGGAAAATAGAGAGCATAGTGACCCTCTCCGTGTTATGAAGACATACAAGAGGAAACCGGGCGTGCGTTTGTTTGCAGAGTCGTTGAGTACTTTTGGTGGGATATTTGACCAAAGGACGTAGCTGGCAGGTCTATACTTCTCCGTCGACCTTGGGCCCCATCTTGAGGATGCGATTCAGCGCCACCCTTCCGCCAGCATCAGGGTCCCTGGCGGTTTGCTCTTCTCTGCGGTGAGTGCCACTTTATGACTGGGTCTCATGTTCACATGGTTTGCCTTATCCGTTTCGGGGAGCTAGGATTCATGGGATTATCTTGCAAGCACTCTATCTGTCACTCCGGGGTAGGTCACAGAGCTCAACTTTGAGCAACTTCTGGATCACCTTGAATTTTGTTAGGCTATTTTAAAGGATCATTTAATGGGAAAAGAAATAGGTTCTGGACACGACGATTAGGTCGTGCATTGAGGATGACGCTGACTGCTTTTCTCACATGTCACCTTGCTCGCATCATCATTTGGGGAATCGATGTTGTACTGTTTTGTCGTTTTACTTTTTTCGCGCGAGACGGCTTTTGAAAATATGTGTGAACTTGGTGTCAATACATTTCCTTCTTCATAAAACATACTGAAAGCGCATAATAATTTGGTCAAAGGTCTGCTTACGAGTGGAGGGGGTCTCGAGACAATTTTGCTTGTAATATTCGTCCTTTTTATTCTGGTTTCTTCATGGACCACCCTGATTTTTCCTAAATAATACAACGTTTGCGGAGTGGTAGTAACGTTAGACTGCTGTTGATGTGCATGATGCTGATTCTGCCCCCATCTCTAATGCCTCCTTCCCATTGTCTCAGATCTCTCCCTTTGAGCCAATTTTCAGGCTGAAGTTATCTGAAATGATGCACATTTGCAAACCATTGACAGTTTTCTGTGTTTACGTGCTAAAATTTTCATTGGAACTTAAACCCAACCATGATTCGTTGTTATAGCAAAGGAATTAGCTTCGCCTGAACGACATGCGGTTATCGCAAATATAAATATACTTTTGAAGAATTGGCGTGGAAATGGTATACCTTTTTAAGCCCGAGATCGAGAAGAGAATGATATCGGCTTTGTGTCCCATTAAATGCAAATTTCTGATGTGGCATCATTCGGTCCTTCACCTGGGCAGGTAGCGAGCATAAGTCCACGTCGACTTCTGTGCGTAATCTCTTTCCTTGTTAACAAACTTGTGTTCATTTTCTGCCCTTAGACAATTATTCACAAACACTGTTGCGCAGGGCTCGTAATTGTTTTAAAATTATAAATTTGTTGGCAATTTTTTTTATTTTTTAGGCCCTGATACGTAGGTGTCGTTTTGTTTGCATATGCTCGTTGGTTTTCCCTGCTTGCTCTCTGTAGTTCGTCCATGTCCGATGTGAAATCTTGCGACAACATAATTTGGTTATGTTAATTAAGGAAACGACTTGCCTTTTAGCTGTCAATATAGCTGACTCACTTGTCACGCTGTGGGTTACACTTGAGCCTCCCAGACATGTTGGTAGATTATCAAAGGCGAAATTGGTCCTTGAACAATATTTTAAGGAGTATGTGTATTAAAGGAAAACAATCTAACTACGGCTTATTGTATTTCTCACGGACTAGCTTGGCATTGTTGACGAGGGATGAAATTTATATGGATCTCGAAGGTATTGAACTCCTTACTGTTCTCTACATTATAAGCATGGTGAGGGAAATTGATTCTGTTCCCCTCATTTTATTCCTCTCTCGGACCTGTATGGGATTATTAATTTAGGCAAACCGAGTCTTTTATGATTTCCTTTTTGATCTAACCCCCTTAGATTTTCGCTTCGGCAGTAAGGACCACCAACTAACTCTGAAAGATGCCTGCCACTCGGTAGTGTCACTAGTCTTGACAGCCTTCTGCTCTTACTGGTTTACTTCGTTTTGGCAGCTCAACATGTACAGTTGGCGGGGCGAAAGTGGAGAGTGGAGTTCGAGACGGTGGTGAAAGGCGGTAGCGATGGATGCAGCGGTTACGTGTGAAGGGCGATGCCGTGGTGGACCCCACCCCTAGGACTGCGCCACTGTCGCTTGCACCGTCTACGGTCGTCCACTCGCCGTCGTCCTTGGCATGATTGACTTTGTACTCGTCTAACTGGCACTGCAGGTCAGATTTCTTTATTTCCCCTTTCCCTCCCAGAAGCTGGCGTCGACTTTATTTCTTAGGTTTGTAGTATTCGTGCATTCGATTATTTAATTTCTCCAGCTATATCAAACAAATGAGTGCAATTAATTAACGATAGGCCTTCAATCTTTTCAGTTATTTTCAAAATGAAAATCTGAAGGACCTTAGTATCGAGACGGATGCTTATCACTGGAAGGAATGGCCGTCCAATCCTGCATACGCATGGTGATACTTGTTAATATAACCGTTAGATTGCAGGTGGTGCACTCACAAGAAGCCGTGTCAACGCCGAGTTTTGCGTTCCTGGGGCCGCATAGGCACGGATATTGGCGGCTTGAGGGCAGAGCACTTCGTCAGTGTGGCCGCCGCCATGCAGCACCTGCACAGCCTCCTCACAGATTAACTTAGCACTGTCAAAAAA